CCTAGGCCTCACCCTGTGGGGGTTAAACTGGGGTTTCAAACCCCCCGAATGACTTGTTTTTCTAAGTAATGTCATTTATTTATGCTGAATTTGAAAGATATAGGCTTAGCTCCTTAAAGTTATTTACTTTCTTTTAAGAATTCTAAAGAGTTTTACACACACACACACACACACACACACACACACACAAATATAAAGAAAATAGAAAAGAAAATACTTAAATAAAATCTGGGCCTGGGCCTTGTACTCAGAACCTGGGTGCTGTCCCTGAGCTTTGTTTTTTACTTTTTCCTCAATGCTAGCGCCCTTATCACTTGAGCCACAGCCTTCTTTTTTTTTTTTTTTTAAACTTTTTCAGGTGGTTTATTGGAGACCAGAGTCTCATGACTTTCCTGCCTAAGCTGGCTTTGAACCCTGATCCTCAGATCTCAGCCTCCTGACTAGTTAGAATCACAGGCCCACCAGCCCAGCTAAAGCAACTTCTTTGTAATCTCCCAGACTGTGAAACACATTCTCGCTTCATATCACAGCACAGCTCAAGTCACAAGACTGAGAAGACAAGCATAGGAAACGTGAAGGAAGAAAATCTCATTTCCTAAAACTGACCGCAGGGAGCTCAGGGCTCTTGCTTTTCTAGTTGTTTCTATGCAGACAGACAGGGCTGGGGAGAGAAGTTTCTGGATGTATTTCTTGAACCAAAAAGTAAAAGCTGACTCATGTATTAAAATTGTAACTCTTTTTTCCTACAACTATTTAAAGATGATTAAAGCAATAATGGGAGTCAACGACACATTTTTGGTCGTTGTTACTGCTATTTAGCTAGCTTTTCTTTCTAAAATGCATGTCGTTATAGGTTAACAGTCTAGAGGTACAGGGGCCAGCTGGGTGTGCTGGCCACCTGGTGTTTTTGCTGCAGATTTAAATGAAATAAATTAAGAAAAACCATCCTTTGCTGCTAGGAGTGCTTCAATATCAAACTTGGATGGGTTTACTTTTCTCTTGTATTTTATTCTTTGGGTGTGTGAACTTGAGTAAAAATAGAGGAAACATTCTCCTATTTAAAAACTATGTCTTGTCTTTGTGGGTAGGGTGTCAGAATTAATGCTAACATCCCCTTTATGTCTTTGGCTAAAACATAAATAATCAATGATAATTTTCTTTCCTGCAGGACTAGGAATAGAACCGTGGACCTCATACATGGCAGACAAATGCTCTGCCACTGAGCTACAGCCCCAGCCGGTGGCAATGCTCTGAAACCACTCAAATAAAGGCAGCCCAGACAATTTTCAGACAGTAAAAACTGAGGCTTAGAAAGGCCTTTGGTTTCATGAACCTTTTTGGATCATTTTCATCCTGTGTGTAAACGAATTGTCCTGTGCTACAAATCTACCACTTTCCGGTGCAAGACCCGGCAGATGCTGTGATTATTTTCTCAAACACTGACATACTGAGGAAAGGTTTTGAATTTTCCTGCTTACCAAAACAATTATCAGATTAGAAATTGTCTTTCCCCCTCCTTCTTGGGGGTGCTGGGATTTGAACCCAGGCTCTCAAGCCTGCTAGGCAAAAAGCTCTACCACTGAGCCACATCCCCAATGCCCCCATACCCTTCTCTCTTTAAGGCTTAATTTTTAAAGGCTGGCCCTTGTTGGAAAACACAGCAATTTGTAAATAAAATGTGGAAAATCCAAGGTCTTTGTCTTGAGTGGAGACAACACCGTTAGGGATAAATCCCAGGTGTGCAGGTGTCTCGGCAGAACAACACTGCGGGCTAAGGGCCAGTCTGCACTGTTGTTTCTGCGGCATAGAATATCTAATTGAGTGCCTGTCTGAACTACAAATGTTGGAGTTTAAACTCAGGGCTTTGCGCTTGCTAGGTGGGTGCTCTATTGCTCAAGCCACACCTCCAGCCCTTTTTCCACTGGTTATTTTTGAGCTGGGGTCTCACTTCTTGCTGAGGCCGGCTTGGACCCGTTCCTAGCTACGCTTCCCACTTCAGCTGGGTACTGTCATAGACAGCTTTATGGGTCGGGATGGGTCTTGTGGACTTTTGGCTGGGCTGACCTGGAATCTTGATTCTCTTGATCTCTACTTCCCAAATATCTAGGGGTTTTTGCTTTGCCTCTGTTTTAATGCTTACAAAAGTTACTTATGCTTGTTGAGCACACATTCTCCAAACAACATGAAAGAAGTCCGCTGGGTCACCTTCGCACGGCTGTCCTCGGCAATGCTGCTCCGAAGCCGTTACCCCTCCTCCTGCCATTTTGTCACTTGAAGCTGTTTACTTATCTATGAACTTTTCCCTCTGCACTGCTGTCTTGAGATGGAGCATTTTCCAGAGGTCTCTTCCTCTCTTCTTGAACCTCCTCTGCCAAAAGAAGCTGAAGTTTGTGTACCCATGGGTAATGAGCGTGGCCGGCAGTTCTCAAAAAGAAGGAAAAAAAATAAACAGAACTATTAGAAAAGGCGAACAAGGCTCCTGATTGCTCCCTGTACCACCTGAGGCGCCTGCTTGGTCTGACAAATCTCTTATCTTCAATTAACCAGCAAACAGCTGGCACTGTGGCTACAGTGGTAGAGAGCGCCAGTCATGAGTGGAAAAGCCCACGTGAGAGCCCAAGGCCCCGAGTTCGAGCCTTAGGACCAGTATACATGCCAGTGGCTCTGGGTTGGCCACAATGGTCCACCTATGGTTTTATGTACGTACGTATGTATGTACGAATGTATGGATGGATGTCAATCCCAGGGCTTTGAACTCAGAGCCTGGGCTCTGTCCCTGGGTGCTGTACCACTTGAGCTACAGTTCCCATTCTGGCTTTTATGTTATTTTGGATATAAGAGTCTCACAAACTTTTCTGCCCAGGCTAGTTCTGAACTGCATCCCTCAAATCTCAGCCTCCAGACTAGCTAGGATGACAGCTCTGCTCACCTAAGATTCTTATTCTCTCTCTGTCTCTCTCTCATAGCCAACTCTTTTTCTCTTTTCAGTTAGCATTTATTAATGTACAAGGAGGTTTCCTTGTGGCGGTTTCATACATACATACAATCTGCTTTAATCAATACTAATACTTTCACATCTCTAGTTCTAAGTTTTTAGGTTTTCGTTCTATTTTCACACACAGATGAATCTCACTCCAGCTGCCTGCCCCCCCCCCCCAGTCTCCAATTTGCATTGCTGGTTTTTTTCTTTTTTTAAGGTCCTGGTCACATATGAAATGCCACACGTGTTAGAGCTAACATGTGCATGCATGTGGTGTGGCCTGATCTTTGTAAAGATGTGAGATGTGAATGGATTCTGACTTCTCCCAGGCAGCCAATATTCTTTCGTTGGTCAGTCATTCATGGAGGCTGGCTCTGGTGTGGCACTCCAGCTGACCACACACTGTGTTCTGCCCTGGCCAGCCCAGGCCTGCTGTGCAGAGATGGCCACATTGGGACCCCTTTAGGAACTCTGAGCTGGCTTTCAGAGGCTGATTTGGGTGCCATGCAGACCGCCCTGAGGCTTTCCTGCCCTCTGTGATGGAATGCAGGCCACTGACCTGTGTGGGGGGCTTTTGGGCTTTCCTGCTTGTTTGAATGGGGGTATTTCTGGGGACTCTCAGGTTGTAACGGACACGTCAGAGCAGCCATTTGACCGAGGCCTGAGGCATCTCTCTGTAAGAAATGACACCTACCGATATGAATTCCAGGAAAGGGAAACAGAGGTTTGAGTCGTTGCTGTTTTCACTTTATTTTTTGTCTTATTTGCTGCCGTACCTGTTGTTGGGACCCAGGAATGGAGGGACAAAGGGTGCACAAATGCAGCTGCGGTCCTCCCTGGACAATGAGCCACACGACTCGTGGGTGGGGACAGGAGGGAAAACTGGGAGAGGAGGAGGGAAGGGTGACACTGTCTAGAAAGCAATGTCCTCCTTACCTGATTGATGCAACTGCCACACCTCTATCACCTTTACAATAACAGTAAGTTAAACAACAGCTTGTTTGGCAGAAATGACAAAAAAAAGAATCACAATCAGCTCCCGGCTTGTTGCTGTTATTTACTATTACTTTGTCGTGGGTGTGCTCGGTTGCGTGGCTCGGCGGTGGGTGCGCGCGCTGCGGTGGCGGTTGGCTGCGGGTGGCCGTTCTCTCGCTGGTATTTACTGGCTGGGTGGTGGCGCTCCCGGCCCGGCTGTCCTCGGCTCGCGGTGGTCGGCTCCGGAGGGCGGGGCCCGCGCGGGCTCCGCCCCCCCAGCTCTGGCTCTAAGAGGCCGCGAGCGGAGGCCGCACTCGGGGCTGGGGGTTTAGCCCAGCGGAAGCGCGCCTGCCTGGGGCGCGCAAGGCCGTGGGTTCGGTTCTCAGCCCTAGTTTAAAAAAAAAAAAAAAAAAAGACACATAAAGCTACAAAAGACCAAAAAAAAATAAGGTAACGGCACACACACAACCTTTTCCACCGACACACAACACACACACGCGGGGCGCACACCTTTTACACACACAACACACACACGCGGGGCGCACACAACCTTTTACACACACAACACACACACGCGGGGCGCACACAACCTTTTACACACACA